TTAAAAATTTTTAGACAAGATACAAAAAACAAATACTGGGGCAAGAACGCCTGGATTCATATCCCAGCTCTGCCACATTCAGTTAGGTAACCTTGGGCAGGTTAATTTCTACTACATTAGAACGCTTGCGAGAATTTAATGGGTTAATATGTGTAAATGTGGGGCCTCCCTGGTGGAGCAAGGGTTTAAGATTCAGCACCATGAAGCTATCTGCAGCTACTGCAGCAGTTGGATCCCCAGCATGGGAGGTGACCCACATCGGACAGCAGACCTCTCCTGCCTTACCCACTGCTCCCCTCAGCAGTGTATTTCAGTACATCTGCCTGTTCTGCTCCCCACTCTGTCTCTGGTGAATCCTCTCACCCACCGCATCTCTGGCCTGCACCCCAGCTCTTGCATGCATGCATAAATAAATCTTTTAAAAAAAGACTTAAAAAAATGTGTAAATGCTTATATGATAAACTGTTCTTTACAGGCAATATTATTTTCTAAATAGAAAATCCAATGCTTAAGTCCAGGAATTCATTACAAAACAAGAAATTGTTGGAAATAAGAATTGAGAAGGTTGCTAAACATATATAATTCAACTATACTCTTAAAAATCATATAGGAAAAAAAACACTAAGCTTCTTTTCATTACTCCCAGCACAAGTGTACAGCTAAAAAGATTAACAACTCACAAGCAATCTTGTTTCATCCCTACCCACAGCCTCCCCTCTATTCCAGATAATAATGAAGCAAATTCCAGACAAATTCTTGTGTCCATCAGTATATGAATTATGTATGTCTAAAAGACAAGGATTTTTCAAAACATGACTGTACCTTGCTATCACACCTAAAAATTAGCAATAATTTCTTCATATCAAGTATCTATTCACTGTTCATTTTATTTCATATATATTTATTAAAATCAACACAAATAAAGTTCAGATTTTGCTATTAATCTTACATTTCTACCTTCCTTTCTCATTTTTTCTTCCTTAATTTTCCTTTTTTTTCCTTCTTGAAAAACTAAGTCCTGTGTTCCAAGGACTTTCCCCAGTCTAGATTTTGCTGACTGCATCCTCACATTATTTCATGATTCCCTTCTGTGTTTCCTAAAAACTGGTCATTGGAGCTCACATTTTTGGTAAGATACCTCATTGGTTGTGTTATGAACTTTACTAAAAGAAACCAAATGTCTCTCTCTCTGAGACATAAGCAGCCACTGAAGATCTTTGCTTAGGTCCAGGAATTCACTACAAAATTATGATGTTCCAGTTATCACACCTTCATTTATTAACTAGAATGCTCCTGAGAAAAGAAAGTTCCACTCATCAACAAGTAACCTTCAGGTACAGTTGGTTCCATAACAATATCCAAAGAAAAAGATAATCAGTTTTCTTAAGTATTAGTATAACTCATTTAAATATATTCAATGTGCTTAGTTGTAATATAGTTATATTTAGTAATGCACAAATTGTCTCAGCCAGAGCCCATTCATTAAACACTTAGTTGACCTGCAACAATCCCAATTATTGTTTGATAACTTCCTTGCAAGGTATTCAAGTCATAAACTGCTTTCCATAGTCAACTAGTTTCTGTCTTATTCCTTACTTGAAGTAAATTAAAATTTTATAATTCTTAATTATAAAACGTCTATATTAAACATTCTGGATATTATGATTATACATGGGCCCAGAAATTAAAGCAAAATTTCTCACTGAAGTCTACTTTTAGCATTCCATTGAACGCTAAACAAAAGTATATCCCACTCAAAACTGGAAATTAAACCTTCTGATTTGAAAGACTGAAGCAAAAAGATTCTTAATCTATTCTCTGCTGGTATTTTGGCTCTGGAAAGTATTTCTTCATGTTCTGTTTCAAATTTGGGTATGTTTTTTAAACATGCACAATGAAAATTCAGTTTTTTCCCTTTGATAAATGAATGAAATATCAAGTATGGGGAAACAGTCAAATTCTTATATTTTGTACCATATCTCAGATTTTTTAATAAAATCCTCATACTTTATCCTTAACATTAAAAGTCAAGATACCATGAGTACGAACTTATAAGTTCTGTTTGAAATATGAAATGTATTTGCTAAATTATGCCCCTTGGAATAAAATGGCATTACCTGTAGTGAAGATACAGTTCTCTTATTGTGCAAAAGAACTAATTCGCAGACATGGAAAGCTCTACCATGCTACACAGCTAGCATACACCACTGTGGAAAAAGCAGAATCTTGCAACTATGAGCCATTTTGTCACAAAGCTCTGAAGAAGCATAGCTTTAGTGGACAAAGTTTGCTTGCACCCAAAATTTATATTATTTTCTTTGACACTAAATCAAAATCAGAAACCACATTACTGAATGTCAGTTTTTCTCTCTGTACAAAGTAGGACATGAATTGATATCCCATTGCACTCTCCTTTGCTCACAAACCAAGTGCACTATTTCTGGCAGTTAAAGTCGGCTTTGATCAGAGCAACTTTCCATGCGACAATGGCTTAAGAACAACCAACACCAAAAGCAAAGCAACAACAAAAAAAGTCTTCTGCAGCAGTGTGGATTTCTCAGTGATAAACAGTAATGCTTCTATAGAAAGTGCTGGTATGTCCTCTGCCATCTGTACTTTTGTCCAACTGAAAAAGAAAATATCTGCTAGCATGCACACATGACAGTAATTGCTTTTCCAGATGGTATGCCTTTGATAAGGGATTTTTGCCAAAAGCTCATTTTACTTTCTCTCCAAACATAATATTTGTCATTAACTTTGAAACTGGTTTTACAAGCTTCTCAATAGTAGTGCGAGTTGACCTGTTTTTTGCTCTGAGAAGGATAATTGTGGATGATTCTTCAGTGCTAAAACTCTTTAGCAACATCATTCCTTAATTTCACTCTCAAAAAATTATTTTATATGATATTATATAATGATTTCATATTTAAGTTATTTTAGAAAAGGAAACCAAGAAATACTAAGTCTCCCAAGGTAGCACAGAGGTAGAAAAGCCAAAGCCTGTGCTCTTTCCATGTGGTGTACAGAGGAAGCTGCAGCAAGGGAGTACCCACTCCATTCAAAACTTTCCTGAAATTTGTTTTCAAAGGTTTTCTTGAGTCCAAAGAAAGTATTTTTTAAGGTGCCTATTAATGCAAACTGCAGTGCAAGATATAACCTTATAAATGTTCTAGCAGCTTCATTCATGTACTGATTTTGTTTTAACTCCCCCCACCAAAAAACACCCCCCATCCCATAATCTCAAAATCTAAAGTCCTCTCCAAAAAAATTATAAGAAAATATTGTCAAAATGTATTATATAAAACTTCTGAGAACAAATTTATGAAATTTTCACTCTTCTCCATTTCCAAATGGGAAAATGACATATATTAATAGGAGATGTCATTCTGTGAAAGCCTGCAAAAGAGTGAGGCTATAAGAAATTGATGAATTAGAAATCCTTAATTTAAGGATTTTATTTGTAGACCATAAATAGTTGACAACCACAACCAGTTAGTAAGCAAATTCAATTGATCAGAACTTCCTGCTCCTTAATTTTAATTTTTGTTGTGGTCTGAATGTAGAACATGATTATATTACTTAGAAAGGGATTAAATTATGATTTTATGTACTCAGTTTATGATTACTTTTAAGTGTACTTAGCCTCAGATAAACATCCTATGGGAAAGATGTCTTCAACTTCATTCATAATGAAGTTGTAGAATAATTTATATTCTTCCACATATCTAAAATCATTTTTTGCAAAGTCTGGACATTCAACTGTTGTTAAATGAAACAAGAAGGAAAGATATCTTTAAAAAAATAAGAAAGATGGCTCTTTTAATAAGACAAATTACATATTTAAGCATCATTATCCTTTGATTCAAAATGACCTCAAAAATTTTTAGAAAATTTAATATAGCTGCTAGGTGTTAGAGAATTGTTAAAACTTCCCAAAGCAACCTAACTTTCTCATCTGCTATTTGATTCAAAGTAACTTTTCTTTGGCAAAAAATTGCGGAATTACACCATCCCATTTGAGGAGGTAAATCCATTTATTTTAACTGAGGAAGTCTTTGGATTTTCCAATATCATGGATTCTGGTTATTTTAGAATTTATTGTTTTACATATTCTTCTTCTAAAACAAACAAAATGAAATTAATAATCCTAGTAATAAGTGATATATTTTTCTCAAATTTTCATCTTCTTTATAGTCTAGCAAGAGTAATTTAGAGACCTCTATAATATCTACAGAGAAACAAATAACAGGCTTGGACACCTAAAATAATCCTCTTTCCATACTTTCTGCCTACTTGGAAAAATGTAATTAAACATATTTTGTTTTTAAATGAACACCTAGCTAACTGCACCCTGTTTGGAACTTATACATACTTTAAAAAAATAGCACCATGTTTGTTTTTGGTTGGTATTACGCTTCCATTTGGTTGTTTCCAAATGTCTTATGTAGTCTTTAAAATCAGGATCCACCCCATGATTTGAAAGTGTTGTTTTATTGGTCAACTGAAAGTAACCCATCAAATCCCAAAGGTCCTCTAGGATAATCTACAGAGTGCAAAAAGTAACACTTCTTGGTAAATGGAAAATCCTTGACAATTTAGGAGAAGAGGAGAGAGGTTTCCAAATCAAACTAAAGAATTCTGGACCATCTGGGCAGATGCTGTTAGAGTACTGAATTCAGTTGCTCATCTGAGACTCATAAATAATAAATTACATTGATATTTTATTTATTTTTTTTTCCAGTTCGTCTAAACAATTTACTGAGCTTTAATCTATACTCTGTATACGTCTTATAATTTAAATGCATTCCTAGTTACAAGGATTACCTTCAGAAATTTGAATCTTTTCTCAGTTTTGGGGAAGAGTAGGTGAGAGGGGGGTAAACACATCCCTAAAAGCTAAACATTCTAACAAAACTTTCAAATTTATGGGATTTGCATACAGAAACCAGCATTATAAAATGACTGAAAGTTATATTAAAGTAAAATTGTATCTCAAATACCTTAGAATACGTAGAAATTCTGAAGGTTGGTGCCTTCATTTGGAAACAAAGATTCTTACTGCATAATCTCGCCTGGTGGTACTTGATATTATCATCAGAGTCGGTTCCAGCTACATTTCCATTAGTATGGACAGATCTAATATAGGAGAAAGAAGACACAGTTAGTCCACTGAAACATCACAGGTTTTAGATAGCTTCCCTGTACACATACAAAGATTCCCATACAGAATGCTTTTGTTTCTCAAGAAATGCCAAGTCCCATTCTTGTCACTATTATAGATTCTTTAAATCGAAATTAAAGGTTATCAGCACAATAAATATATAAAGTTGGGCCTCCCTGGTGGCGCAGCGGGTTGACCGCAGCGCTGTGAAACTGTCCGCTGCCTCTGCAGCTCCAGTTCAATCCCTGGTCGGCCAGGGAGCAACCCACATGGTTCAGCAGACCTCTCCTGTCTCGCCGGCTGCTCCCCTCAGCAGTGTTATTGGTCCTTCTGCCTGTTCTGCACCCTGCTCTGTCTCTGGTGAATCCTCTCACCCTCCTGCTCCTCTGGCCTGTACCCCAGTGCTTGTATAAATAAATAAAATCTTCAAAAATATATATATAAAGTTGATTAAAAAGTAATTATTTGCTTTAAAATGAGTCAGATGCCCAAAAGAGATACACACCAAATTGGGCTTTGCATTGATAGTCCAAGGAGGCAATGGGCCCGAAAGTATTGGCTCATTCATCAGAGTTGCTGAAATCTCCCCAGGAGCAGTTGGGAGCATGTCTTTAAATCAGGTCCTTCCTCCCTAACTCACATTCTCTCTTTTCCAATCTTCCCTTAAAAGTTTGTATAGATTGTTATATTGTGAAAATACTATTTTTTAACTTATTTTAACATTTTCTCAATCTATCACTGACTTTTAATACACAAATTTTTATTTCCAAGTGGCCAGCACTGACTTATGGGTAAAATGGAACAGTAGAAGGAAACAACAGAGGATTGTGCAGTATCAGAGAATGCTTAAGCAACGTGAGTCCTACTATTTCATTATTCAAACCCTAAGCTAATTGCTTTAGGTTTTACCCACAGGGTTAAATATTTTACTAATATTCCTTCCCTTTAGATCACAAAAATACAATGAATTAGACTCTAAAAACAATCATTATTCCAGGTCCATTCAGCAATATTGCTAGTTAATTCTACCAGTAGATCCCACTCCATTCTGGTCCAACTAGCCTCTCTCCTATTTTCATTCCCACACAGTGTTGTCTATGCTTTCTCATCACCGCAAGTTTTCCCTGACTGCTGCCCTACCTGCCAACCTTTTCCACAGAGATCTCTGGGAACCCCTTTTATACACTAAAACTAATAACCTCTACATACTCAACCTGATCAATGAGCATTCCTTTCAACCAGTGGGCTAAATCTGGCTCTTGAAAAGAAACGTCTAAAATGAAGACTTAGGCAGAAGGGATCAATCTTCACAGTAAAATTTCCAGACCCTAACACACAAGCAATGCCCCCCACCCCCCACCACACTTTCCTTCAGGCTTGTGGTATCTGTCTGTCCTAACCTCTTCTCTTTGTCATCCAATATCCCATTTCATTTTTACTAACCTGGGGTCAGACTCAAACCCTTAAAAGGTCTCCACCAACTCTTTCATCTCACCTATCTCAAAATCTCGGCTGTTACCCACTATCAGAACACCCAGTGTGTTCTTTCTTCCTTCCACTTCACCAACCTCAAATTTTTAAACTTGGGTCAATTCAATCACCTGCTCGAGAAAAATCAAACAATGACATGGATGCCCCTTCTATAATATTAAGATATTCAAATTCAGTTCCATGCTGAATTTCACATGTCTTTAAAGCAGGTCCTTCCTCCCTAACTCACACTCTCTCTTTTCCAATCTTCCCTTAAAAGTTCGTATAGATTGTTATATTGTGAAAACACTATTTTTTAACTTATTTTAACATTTTCTCAATCTATCACTGACTTTTAATACACAAATTTTTCCTTCCAAGTGGTCAGTTTTGCTCATCTTTGCCTTTTTCATTTATTTTTATTATTTCTACACTTAGAAACTTCTTAGTGATAGGGCCTCCCACATGGCGCAGTGGGTTAAGACACAATCTATCAAGCTGTCCGCAGACTCTGCAGCATGAGTTCAATCCCTGGCCAGCCAGGGAGCAACCCACACGGTGCAGCAGACGTCTCCTGACTCACCTGCTGCTCCCCTCAGCAGTGTACTTCAGTCAATCTGCCTGTTCTGCTCCCCACTCTGTCTCTGGTGAATCCTCTCACCCCCGACACCTCTGGCCTGTACTCCAGCTCTTGTATGCATAAATAAATAAATCTTAAAAAAAAAAAAAAACTTCTCAGTGATAACAGAGAAGTACTGTGATTTTCATTTTTGTGTGGACTAATTATTTGAATTCCTTATTTCAAATGATGTATGGAATGAGATTTAACTCTAAACTGAGCTGTATTCCAAGCTGCCAGCCAATTTCCTACCAACATTAGGTAATTCTCACAGTTTTTTGGTTTATAAAGTTTCCTCTCATCTATTTCACTTGTTGGTTTACAAGAAGATGGATTTCTGGAGTATAATCTATTTAAACAATATAATTATTATGTCTTTATATGCTTTCATTTGTGATAAGACTATTCCTTGGTATTCTAGTCCCCTATTCTTCCTGACAACAGTCAAGATACATTTTTATCAGTTTCCAAGGATATGCCTGATTATTCCATGAGCAAAAAAACAGTTGTCCAGTTCACTCTGAATGCTGTGTATTTCTGTGATAGCTGTTGCCTCCACGCTGTGCTGTTTTCTGCGTTGAGTTATCATACATACTAACCGTGCATCACTTAATGAAATTTCGGTCAATGATGAACCACATATGTGACAAGTGTTCATGGTGGGCGAAATCACCTAGGTGTACAATCACACTCTATGACACTGCATTTCTCAGAACTTATCCCCATCATTATATGACTCACAACCTACTGGGTCTAGAACCAAAACCTTTCTACTTGTGCTAGAGAGCCAGTCTACTTACATATTTATTCATTTGAAACCAGATTCATAAAACCTTGTTCTCTGTAATTTCCCATGCTTTGTATTTACTTTTTCATCGGTAAAACCTGGTTTGTGTAAAATAAAGGCTGTTTCATAGATGATTTTAATTTCATAGGTCAATATTTTTTTATCAGCTCTGAAGTATTTATCAGCTCGTCCTGCTATCTTTTAAGTACCACAATTATGTTTATTATTTTTTAAAATTTTTGAATATTATAAAAATCACCTGATTAAAAAATCAAAAATGACGCAAAACGAAAAATATATCTGAGAATTCTCATTCCTACATCACCCATATATACAGCCCATGTTTATTATAGGTTGCCACTTTTATTATATTCTCATATATCCTTCCAGTAATTCTTTATGCAAATATACAACTGCAATAGTCATATTCTTTCCACTTTCTTACACATGTTGAGTTGTGTCAACCCTTCTTTTTTTCACTTGGTATATGCTGCATATTTTCTGTTATGTTTCTTCATTGTCAACTGAAGTTCCATAATATTTCATTGTGACAAAATATACTAGCTTGTATAACTAAGTCCCTATTTTTAAGAAATTAGATTCTATGAATTTAAGCTTTTTTTCTGAAAGTAAGTTAGTTCAAGAGCAATAACTGTACAAACCAAGCAATACAAGAACTTATGGAATATGACTTCACAAATTTTTATCCTATTAACAAATGCAAGTTCTCTTGTACACCAGGTCCTTCAGTAACGTTTCATTACAATGTTGATAAGGAAACAAACAATTCCAGTTAACACTGAGCAAAATGATGTTATTCAAGGATCTGCTTTCATTATAAGTCATTTAGCTTCAAGTCAGTTTCCAAGAACCTACCAATGACATTAAATGAGGACTTACTGTACCTTGCTTTATCTTTTATTACAAAGTTATTCTCAGTCGATTTAAAATCTATCAACCTTTATAATCATAAGCTCTGAAAGAAAAGTGTAGTTCTCAGGGTAAAAGTTCTTAAATTCTGAAAGTTGCCTAACCTCATTTTAATGGGTTTGCAAAAATAAAATACAGTTGTATAAGAGTCAAGATATTTACTAAATCAAGAAATGTCTCATTCTACTTAGTGGGATTAAGAAAGGATTCAAGTGGGAATAAACTTGTGGGTTCAATCCTAAATGATGAAGTGCTCCAGAGGCAGATGAAGGTAAAAGAAACCATTACTGATAGACAAACAACAGTTTGAAAGAGCACAGCTTGTCAAGAATTCTAAGTGTCCATTTTGACTAGGAATACTGGAAGCCACAAAACAATGTCATTCCTACCCTAATGGAGGGAAAAAAAAATTCTCTTGAGCCGAACAAAGATTTGAGATCACAGCAAACAAACTTAATTCCGAAGAGGGACAAGATCCTCTAAGGAGAGACCATATACATAAACTATTTTACCTCTGGCAGGTCACAGAAAAAGAACTGACCAGCACACAAGTGTATAGTGTAAGGAAAAAAGTTAAGATTTTTTTTAACAAATTCTTAAAGACCAAGTGTTGGCTAGTGTGTAGTTTGGAAAGGCTGGGGAACCCAGAGACAAGGAGAATTTATGATGCTCATTTGAAGTTCTTCTACCTATTCACTAGGAAAAGGAGAGAAAAACTTCTCATTCCTGGGACCAGGCAAAAAACTTTCTCTGCCACAGTAAGAAAGAGGGAGCAGGAAGGGCAATGGATTTTGCTCTTATACCAAGGAGAGATAACATATTTCTGATCAAATGGAGGAATAACATATTTCTGATCAAGACCAACTACAAATATGTAGCAGCTTCACTGCCACAGATAAGGAGAACTGAAAAGCTGAAATTCTTACCACCAATGACCAGGAACATAGACCTGACCAGAGTAAATTCTGGACCAGAACAAAAGAGAACCCACCCTGCCCCACAAGCATCATACTGAGTATCAAACAACAACAATCTATCTCTGTGAGAGGGATTCTAACACTAAGACCATTTATACGTGGATTTTTTTTAAAAAAGATTTATCTATTTATTTATTTATGCAAGCACTGGGTACAGTCAGAAGTGCGGGAGGGTGAGAGGACTCACCAGAG